TCTGGCTCTTCTGATTCCTTATCTTTTACTTCTTTAGTATCTACAAATTGTCTAAGCGGTCGTCTCAATACGATTTCATCAGGATCAAGGACTAAGTTTACGTCCTGTGTTGATGATATTATCGTTGTATCCGCAATTTTTCTTAATGTTGCATCCTCTTCTGGAGTTACCGTAATAAGAGTTTGAGCCCAAGCATCATCTTCTGACGTCATCTAATACATATATATAAATACAATATATAGCAAATATTTTGAAGATATTCATCCATATATTATTATCTTCTGAATATTTTTAAAAAATACAATATTGTACGTAATATTTATTTTATGTTTATTTATATATATATTTATATATATTTATTTATATTATTTTTATTTATATATATTTTATCTTTCTTATATTATATATTTATATTTATATTATATATATTCTATATTCTATTTTAATATAATAAAAATAATTATTTTAATTTAATAAAAATAATTAATCTAATCGATAATAAGGAAATCTTTTATTTTCTTTTATAATGCGAATGAATGATTTATTTTATAATTTTGGTAATATTTTGTTAACTTACTATGATAAGTAATTAAATATAAATTATTGTACGTAACGTCTTTGCTAATGTAATTTAGTATTAATGAAAAAATATATTTATTATTCTGAGATGTCATCTCAGATTTCTTACAAGAACTTTCAAAAAATTTAATAATTTATTTGGAAATTTTGTTGATAGAATTTTACATAATAAAAGGTTACAGGTTCTATGATGTCAAAAAAATGATATCTAACTTCAAATAATATACAAGATTTTTCAGATTTTTCCCGCCAAATCAATACCATAAATAATATCATTTCTTTGAACAATATTTTTCACTTTATTTATGATTACTTTGATAGATAAGGAGAGAAAATAGTAGAAGAAGGATAGAAATAAGATAAAAATATGGGAATCAGCGCCATCTCTAGAGTGTCGTAAATGAAACTCACATAAAAAGAACAGAGATAAGGTAAGAATTGACTATCAGCATCATCTATGAAGTGATAAAGGTACCTTTTCAAAGACAGGATAAGATAGAGTAGGAATTGTCGACTAGCACCATTATTCTACATTACCTATTTTTGAAGAGATATTTTTAATTTTCAAAAGATGGCAGTAATAGTCAATTCTTATCTATCTCTATCCTTTTTTATTATTTTCTGTCTTTTTTTATATAAGTTTCATTTACGGCACTCTGAAGATGGCGCTGATTTTCATATTTTTATCCTATCTCTATCTTTTTCCTACTACTTACTCTTTTATACTTATATTTACAAAATTAACTTATAAAATTTATATATTTTTTTTAAATATTTGAAAAAGATACTTATTATAATTAATATTTTAGAAAAAATTTAACTTTATCTTTGAAAATATAATCTATAATATTAATTATAATAATATTATGTTAATCATTAATTTATAAATTACGTTATAAGTAATTTGAGCAAATATTTTTTTTATTTTTAACAAATTTTAATATTTTTGTTAAAATATTTCATTAAAAATAATTGTAGGATAAGAATTTTATTTTCAATCTTAACAATTTTAACAATTTTGTTAATTAATTAAAAGAATATACGTAATGCAAAATCATCATCTTTATTTGTTTCACAACAGTTTATGTAAATATAACATAGAGCTTCTTATAGATGTACGAGATACTTTGTAATATCTGTTCTTTCTATTATTTGTAATTTCAATTGCAATCTTATTTTAAATCAAATCTTTAAAAATAATAGAAAAATAATAAGAGGATTTCTTGTATTTCCAAGAAACAATTCTTATTTCTAATACATTCAGAAATATTATTTACTATTTTATTATTCCAAAGTTCAATTATCGAAAAATTTTTGTCATTGTCTAGTTCGGATATGGGAAGTTCTACGATATAGTTTAATTTTATATTAAGCTCGCCTATATGCGATTTCACTTGCGTATGCATTTGGCCGAACGCGAAGAAATATATATAGAATAAGTATCGCTTATTAAATTGAATTTTTTACAATAATTTCAACAATAATTTTTATTTATACTTTTATCGTTTTATATACAATTAATTATATTGTCACACTATCCAATATATCTATTTTATTAATACTATATAAATACAATCTTAAACACATTATATTTCTTTTTCAGATGTAGATATTTTCAACGAAGAAAAACATAATTTGAATATCACGAGGTCAATGTATTAGCTCATTTAACACAATTTAATCGGCTTACGTTACAATGTCGCACATTCTGTTATTCCACTCACACTCTAATATTTCTAAATATCCGCGAACAGCAAACAAAGCGAAAATAATAAACACGGTGTACTTTATCTACAATACTTCAATATTTATCATGAAGCAATTCAACTCGGTGTAATGAATCGAGGATCAGTTTATCGAAAAAAATGAAACGATATTCGTTCATATGGTTCAAATATACAGAAAAGCGAACGTAAGCAGATACAAGGCGAAAAAAATATACGCACAGCGTATTTTCCAACACGGAGAATACCGAACGAGAAAATGTTCCAGCGTGTGATAGAGCGTTAATCACGGCAGTTTCATCAAGCAAAACCGTAACTGTGGAAAATCGAGGATTAAGAGAACGATCGTGATAGAAAAAGCTTCATCAGATCGTGAACAATCCGAGCATAAATATGCATGAGATAGCGAGGAATCAAGGAATCAATCACGTATCTGCGTGGAGAATTTTGAGAGAAAATAAATTGCACCCGTATCGTTGATGCAATAAAGATTCCACTCTCACGAATCGCATTTTGTTCACCGATGAAGCGATATTCATACGATCTGGAACTTTCAACGCGCGCAACACACGTGGACGGAGGAAAATTCACATTGCGTAGTGCAAAATAAATATCAGAGAGAATTTAGCGTGAACGTGTAATTGGGAGTGTTGGACAATAAATTGATAGGCCCGTTCTTTTTATTGATATGTCTTATGAGAGAGATTTACTTGCAATTTTTGAAAACTGTCTTACTGCAATTGTTGGAAGGTGTGAATTTATACGTGAGAAGAGACATGCGGTTTATGCACGACGGATCACCGATCCATTTCGGCCCATGCCATGCAATATTTGAACGAAAAATATCCTAATAGATGGATAGCTCGCGGAAGGCCCATCGTGTGGCCTGCCTGATCTCCCGATTTGAATTCATTGGATTTCTCAGTGTGGAGTTACTTGAAAACTTTGGTGTGCAAAATGCCGGTATACGACGAGAATATTCTGCAGATGCGAATTATAAACAAATGTAAGAAAATTGGAGAAGATCAAACTGTTCAAACGAATTCAACAATCGTTCCGTAAAAGGCTGAAATTGTATCGAAGAGAAAAATGGACATTTTCAATACCTATTATGAAATCAAGAGTGAGTGTGGATTGTTTATTTATATTTATAATGCCCGAAGTCTTTCTTTTTTTAAACATTGAAAAAAACTGAGAAAATAATTATAATGTTATTTTGTATTACGATGATGAAAATAAAGATAAAAATTAGGCATTTTAATAATTCTTTTGATTCTATTTCTATCTGATCTATTTGATATTTAAAATCATATGATAAAAAATAACTAATATAAAAAAAATGAAAAGAAAATGTTTTTTTCAATATAAAAATAATTAATATGCGTTATTAAAAATAGTATTACATCTTCGAAATATTACGTTTCGAAGAAAAATATATTTTGCTACGAAAAGAAATATATTTTTTGTTAAAAAAACATAATATTTTCAATAACGAAAAACATATGTTGCTTAGTGATAAAATATATAAAAATTATTTTTTATTTTTTAAAAAGTAAAGATATTGTTAAAAAAATACAAAATATTTATTATATCGTATTTATTATATCTTATTTTAATAAAATAATAATAAACAATAACAATAAATTTATTACCGTATATGTATCAAATACAATAAACATAATTTTTAATAAAAATAAATTGTTTTCAATTTAGAGAAGTTTAGTTACGTTTTGGTACTATTTTAAGGACAAATGTTCGTATTTCCATTGGTTTCAAAACTACATTTATAATACCGTCTTTAATCTCTACAGGCTGATATTCTTCTTCCGATTGGAAAATATCATTCGTCTCAGCATCCCATTTCAAACGATTCATATCCTTGAACCATTGATTACCACCTAATGTAGTCTCCTTAACGGATACGATCGTAAAAGTATTAAATAGATCCTATTGTAACAAATCATAATAAAAATAAATTAAGTATTAATATATAATTTATATTTATATTTTTATGTAACATTTTGTAAAAAATATTTTGTAAAAGATAATTCGAAACGTACTTGTATATTAATTGTTACAGGTTTCGATAAATTTTCGGTTTCATCTATTTCAAAAATATGTTCTAATCTTAGTAGAAGAGAATCTTCTTTCCACGGTTCCAAAGTTAAAATGTGAACATTTGGTGGCAACGCTTTGGCAAGACCTATATTCTAAAAGTAATAAAAATTCTAACTCGTTTCTATTTCTCTGACGATTTTTGGTTTATGATTTATACTTCTGTACTTAAATATCATTTACTTGATAAATACCACTTACTTGCGAGACAGCATTTTGTGCATACGTTGAAAAATTATTTTCATTAGATATAATAAAAGGCCATGGACGAAGCAACAGTTGAAGTGCCAAAGTTTTTTCTTTTATCGCAAGTTCATCTAAATTTTTTATACTACCACCGATAATATAGTGAGAACCTCTAACCACTAAACCTTCACCATATGCAGATTCATTGAGAGCTTCTCCTACACCGAATGCATCATCTTTGAGAAGTCTTCTATGAACCTATAATATGTGAATATGTTTATTTTTTCCTGTTTGGAATATAACACGATTAATTTTACCATCATTTCGATCTCTCCATCTTTCATACTAGTTCCTCCTTGCGCTCGATCCGTTAATAAACTAAGTTTGAGACGTCTTTCTTCATCTTTCAATGAAATTTTCGAAGTAATGGGATAATAATTGCCAGACACTTCTTCTTGCAGCTTTACTTTCCACGTTGGTCGATAATCTCTTTTTCGTTTCAACATTTCACGACCGTTACTATCAGTGTAAAATTCTCCAGAAGAATTCAAATTGCTATAGTATCTCGTTATTATCTCTTTGCCAATCATATCTCTAAAATAATATTTCATAAGTATTTATTTCATTTTATTGTATAAATAATTTGTAACACTTCATTTGAATTACTCTACTATTTCTAAAATATAAAATTTTGTGTATTTGATCCACTTACTTGATGGGTATTGGTCCAACGAGCCAATCGAATTCAACATATTCTATTCCATTGTAAACTCTAATTACCTGAGATACCCAATCATTGATATATTGATGAATTTCTTCTACCAATGGACCTATAAAATGAATCAAATTTATTAATATTATTTGATAATTTTCCTGATGTATCTTTCATTAAAGAATTAATTACCTTTATATACTTTGTAAGTACTAGGTGTTATGAAATTTTTAACGAACATGTTTCTAGGTCTGAATATATATGCACCCGAAGATCTATTTTTAAATTCCTCATTGTTTCCTTCCATTCCTTCGTAATAATGGAACGATTGAGTCAGTCTCATATTTTTTTCTTTCTTCCATTCGACTACGATATGACCATACTGATTCACCGATATATCATAAAACTGAAATAATTTATACATTATTAATATATTTATACATTTTGTAAATAATAATTTGTAAAATTAAAATGGATTATTATTTAATTTCTAAATATTAATTTCTAATTATTTCTAAATTTCG